TTGCACAAACTACAACATTTTCCTGTGGGCAAGGAAAAGAAGTTAAAAAAAGGTATCCGCCCAAACTTGGGCTGAGGACCATAATATACCTAAAGGTGCATGAGAAAAGACTGGAGAAAGTCGGCATTGTCTCAGCTTCCAGCCCCAAATCCCAGTCTGCACTCCCACCATCAACATGTTAAATCTCCCCTCTCAAGTGCACAGCCTCTGGGTGTGGTGTCATTAATGAAGGCAGTCCATCACAGATGTCACTTACAGGGCCAAAATAAGCATACTGCACAGACGTTTATCTTTGTAGCTGCAATTTGAATAAAGCAACAGGGCCCTGAATTTGAAAAACTAGATGAAATAGTTCAGAAAAAAAACCAGCATTCGAGAAACTGAATTTAACCTTCATGTTCACCCGGAGTTTTCTAAATGAATGGTCTTTGCATTTTTTCCCCAAGCTGGACTGGACCTGGAGATCCCAATCCTGGTGTGTACCAGTATCTCCCTCGCACTGTCAGACGGTTATTGGCCCCCCCCCATCCCAGAGAGACGGCAGTGCACGCCTATCTCCCTCGCACTGTCAGACGGTTATTGGGCGCCCCCCCATCCCAGAGAGACGGCAGTGCACGCCTATCTCCCTCGCACTGTCAGACGGTTATTGGGCGCCCCCCCATCCCAGAGAGACGGCAGTGCACGCCTATCTCCCTCGCACTGTGACCTGGTCCCCACAATCCCCCAACCTAAACCCTATAGAGCTGGTTTGTGATGGGTTGGATCGAAGAGTAAAAGCAAGGTAACAGACCCAGAATTTGTGGAAACTCCCTCAGGACTATTGGAGATGCTACACCTGGAAGCTGGCTGAAAGAATGCCAGGAGTCTATTGTGAAGAGCTTAATATTTGTTTATTTATTTGGTTCATTTACTGCCTCAAGGCCTTTTACTATAAAGTGAATAGGCTTTGGAAAGTTAGAATATGGATGGATGCATGGAAGGAGATGCCTTTAAAAAGGACATTTTGTACTGTGTTTTTACTGTGATAAAGACCCTGTTGAATTAATGGTACTTAACAACCATAATTATCCATTACAGTGTAACAGTACATTTTACAGTATGTTATGCAACTAGGATAGTTGGTGATAGTTTGATATGCCGTGTTGTTCACTTCCCGCAGGGCCTCACAAGTTGTTTCATATGTAACGTGTGCAAATCTACAGGTGTCAGTGGGCTGTATTCTCTTGTGACCAAACCTTGCTCTGATGCTGTATCTCTTGGAGCTATAGGCCTCTCTCAATAACAGCAGAGTGTGCTCGAATCACAGTGTGTGCAATGCTGAGAAGCAGATCAGAGATTGGGTGATGGTGCTGGAGCAGATGTTCAGGAATAAAACAACAGAACATAGGAGGTGGTCCTGAAGGGTGACGAGTATGGATTGCGAGGCATTATCTTAGAATGGATGCAAAATTCACCTCGAATGCATTTATCCCTCCTGCCATTTGGGTACCATTTCTAGATTAGTGGATCTGACCCATGTCAGACTTCAGAATCAGGAGGTCCCTGTTTAGTCACTGGCTGGCTGTCTCCTCCGGTCCACTGCCACCCTGCTCACTGGGATCAGCCTCCTTAATAAAACCCCCAGAGTCACCCCCTCACTAAGCTGTTTAGCTGCCATGGAAAAGCCGCTTCCGGGCGGATGGCATGTTCCGAGAGAGCAGGGGATTTGAGGGGTCTCAGGCAGCCGCACTGGTGTCAAACAAGCTTTAGTCATTCAGCTCAATATAGCAGCCTCCCACAGATCACACAAACTTACCGGCTCAATTCTTCCACACCATTTGAGATGTTACGTGAGCGTCTGAGGCTGTGGCAGCCCTGAGCATGCAAGCAGAGCCTGGGCTGGTGGCTCAGTGTTATGCAAGAGATGGATGTTCAACTGTGTCAATCTGTCAGCGAGGTCTACCGATCAGGGCGTGGAGTCAAAGCAGAGTCTTTCTCAAGGGATCAAGTTAACAGTACTGGCCCAGCCCAGGAATGCGTGAGGCTGGTTGGGAGCAGTTGGAGATCCCAGGGATGCTTGAACTGCGGGCTGACTCATGGCATCATGACATGCCATCCCTCAGTCTATGGGAATCTGCTTCACCCAGTTGGAAACCCCTGAGTTCTGCAAAAATGAGCAACGAGCCTCAGAGCCTCCAGTACAGCTGGATTTCATGGACTCAGTGCTTTCTAGCTAGCAGCCATACCACCTGCAATTCAGACAGGGTAACCCACCTGGAGCTGAGCGGGTTTGGGCCTGGCCAGATGAGATATAAAACCGAGGTTCTGACTCTCTGAGGTCATAAAAGATCCCTGTTCATCTTTCAAAAGAGCAGGGGAGGTACCCTGATGTCCTGGCTAAAATTGCCCACTGTGGCCCTTTCAAATCTGGCCTCCTAATCATCTCCTATATCTAATAGCTGAATTTCCTCCTGCCCCGTCACCACCTTAGCTACTGTGTGGTGAGCGTACTGGTGCAGAATGACGGCTGTCATATCATCCAGGTGGGGGCTACACAGCGGTGGGGGGTTGAAGTGGCTTCCTATTGGTTCTGTAAGGCGCTGGGTGTTTGAAAAAGTGCTATATAGATGTAACTTTCATTCATTACAAGTTTTTCACAGGTAATTTTTCAAATCAAAATGATTTCATCATTTTATCCATCCATCCTTCCATCCATCCATCCTTTCCATCCACCCTTCCACCCATCCAACTGCATATTCTGGTCCATCCAAATACATATTTAAAGGAAAAAAAATATATACCTAATTAATGAGAACTTATACAGTAATAATGATAGATTATAAAATTATAGGAACATATATATAATTACACCCCCTACATGCAGTGAAGAACAGCCCCTACTTCTGAGCAGTCATGCTGTGACATTTGCATCCTGGTCATTTTGATGACATGTGACATGCCACACATCACCTTCCCAATTCAGTGTTTGCTTGATGAAAATAAAATGAATTAAAAGAAGTGTAAAAATGAAAGGTCACACTTTGCTTTCATGTAGTCTCTGAAGCTTATTAAGTTATATTCATGCACAAAGATTTTTTTTAAATCCCTGTGGAAATTTTGCTAAATTGACGCCAAGCCTTTGTCATAAATGATGTCTCATGTTTTTCTTCCATGATCTGCTGGGTGGATGAAAGAGAAAAATTTCCTTTCTCTTGTTTTTGCTGAAAATTCCCACAGAAACTTAAGAAATAAACTGGAAAACAAAAACAATCTGATGGTTTGAGGTTAGACAAATTAGTTTAATAATGACATCCATTAAGTTCATTTGATCATACTGCCATATAATCCATCTACAGTGTATTAACTGATAAGATTTCTGCAACCTAATCATGCCATCTACCAAAAATCCTAAGAAAATGTATATTCCTACAATGTAGAGACATCATTATGGCCTGGGACCCTCTCCAGAATGTACAATGGCATTTTTTTGTTTTTTGATGACTGAGATAGACAGCCCAGGTTGGGCAAGTGGTCACTGACAATAGATTGATATGAAGTTATGAGAGAGTGAGTTGGTTGCTCAGTAGATGATCTTGTGGCCTTGCATCTTTAGGAATGTGGGATCTATTCCTTTACATGGGAGTTTGCAGTTTCTCTCTGCATTTGTGTAGGTCTCTTTCTTTATATAGTACATAGACATGCAGTTTATGGGGACTGGTGTCTCTATATTGTGAAATAATGCGAACATGACTGACTGAAATCATGTCCAGGATGTGTCTCTGGCCTTGTTGTAGTGCTGCTAAGTAATATTAAACATATTAAACTTGTACAGTTATATATATAACCATAACCAGGAAGTTTAATAGCTTCTAAGGAAACTGAACAAACAAGTTCAAGCTCCCCCACCTTCCGGAGAAGTTTATACGAACTGCATTTAGTCAGATTGCAAAAAAAAGTCAATTTCTGAGATACAAGAGAAGCAAAGTTTACTGAAAAACAGTATAACAAAAATAGTGTGGATTCTATTGTGTGTCCACCGCACCGTGACACGACTTTTTGACACAGCATGTGACATTTCAGCTGTGTGGGATTGCTCCACAGGCGGGAAGCCAACATCACAGACGGTGTGCATTTAATAACCACTCTAATGAGCCCCTCGCAGCCTTAATTACCAGACTGAGCGCTTCCTCAAATAAAACTCAGCACAGCCTCTGCAGAAAATGTCATTACAGCTATTTTTGTTAATGAGCAGAATATGGTAGTTCCATCTAGACAATGGGCGTGAGATTCATTGTTATAGTTGCTTTACTTGGGAGATAAATAAAATATGGTTCAGAGGGGCAAAGGCAGCTGTATTTTTATTAAGACACAGATCGAACACAGATGAGGGTCGCAAACGAGGTTATTTCCATCCCTATTGGGAGCGAATGCCGGACAGGGAGCTGGCGGAGCAGAGAAATCCGAAGGCTCCCCAATTGGCTGCGGAGTCACGTTCGTCATGGTTACGGTGTGGGCCGGCCTACTCAGAAAACATCTCACTGCGTATAATTCAAGAGGAGACGCTGGGGAGGTCCTCCTGGGGCCAATCTCTATGGAGTAAGCCACGCTTCTTTCCCGCTGAACAACTGGTAAGTCATCGATAAAAAGAGATGTACCAAAGCAGGACAGTTCATTGTTATTAAAGAAGACATATAGAGCCCAAGGTACAGAGAAAATGAGACTCAGTTCAAACACTAATAATGGATATAGTCCTTTTCATGGAAGAATATACTGAATCCATCCATCCATGTTCTATAACCGCTTATCCTACTCAGCGTCACGGAGGGTCCAGAGCCTATCCAGGAGGCTACAGATATCCAGGATGGTGCACCAGCCACCACTCACACATGGACAACTATGGGCAATTTGGTAACTCCAATTAGCCTCAATGTTTTTGTACTGTGGGGGGAAACCGGCGTACCCAGAGGAAACCCCATGATGACACGGGGAGAACCTGCAAACTCCACACACACGGAGACTCAAACCCTGATCCCACAGGTGTAAGGCAACAATATATAATAAACAGCAACAATATGATGAATCAAACAAAAAATAAACCGCTTATATTTTCATAGTTTTCAGTTCTTAGACTATCCTCATTTCAGAAGAACATATGTACATCTCAGAAGAACATGCAAAACAGAAACATCGCATGCCAGTAAAGGGGCTGGCATTGACTGGCACACAGCGTACCCTCTGGCATCAGAGCGATGCCCCTCGGCCTACTGTGGGGGCTTTGCACTACGCAAAGGGACAGGGGGCTTTGGTGGTTCCTGCACTGGGGAGGAATCCACCAGATGTTGGTAAAGGGCGATGCTTCCCTCTTGCACATCCAGACTCATATAAATCGGCTCCACTTCAGTATATTTGTCACCATTTTCGATAAGCTGAGACTTCTCCAGGAAGGTTATATCTAAAAGAGATTGGACATAGTTACAGGGGAAAGACTGTACATTTGATGTAGTCTGAGGACATAAAATATTCAGGCTTTTCAGGTAGTTTTGTGAACACATTTTCCTCAGTGGCCAAAGGTGTTGAAAATGCATCCAGATTAGACCAAACCCCTGGAAAAATGCTAACATCTTTTCCTGCTTCTCTTGTCTTTGGCGACGAAGACAAAAGGAGTCTGATTGGTCTGCCTGCATGTCTGTGTGTGTTGGCGCACCTTGGAAGATGAAGTGACGATTGTGGCTCAGACTCGCTATAACAGACGACTGTGCGACGCAGTTGGAAGAAAACTGGTTCTGCTGCTGGGGGTTCAGCAGCTCTGGTAGAGAGACGAACACCTCCTTCATGTACATGGGCAGCACCAGCGGGGTCTGTGTCAGCAGGGAGCCTGGGTCAGAACACAGCGTTAGCAGGGACAGGATAGCGCTCCGGTCTGGGTCAGAACACAGAGTTAGCAGGGACAGGATAGAGCTCCGGTCTGGGTCAGAACTATTGGGGGTTGAATACACAGTAGCCTTGAGTAGTGGCACCCACAGAAATCATCTTACTCATAAATAACCAATCTGTGCCTGTTTTCATGTGCTGATATTTAAATGAGTTTGTTAGGGGCCAGAGAAGCAGCTAAATCCTGAAAGAGTGTGAGCTGCACCACAGCTTAAGCTGGAACAAGAGAAGGCAATGAAGGGAGACAATTTTTTTTGTTGTTTGTTTCATAGTTCACTCAACACTCTTACCACCCCCCATTCATTCCATCAATTATCGTATGGGTGTTTTGTTGGAATTGAATCTTGAATTGTAAATCATGGTCAGACAAAGACGGATTTAGGCTGTCGGTGACTCAAATTCGTTTAAATAAATGTTTAAACAGTGCAGTTTGAATAATGGGCATGCTTGTGTAGGTAGTTGCATTTTTGCCAAAATTATGTTTCTTAACAGTTAATTAATGGACTCTGGGATTATGCTATTCTGCTTTAGGTTTCGGAGATTCGGTGCAACCTACCTGCCATGTCCAGCGGATGACCTAGGAGGAATTTTTCCTCATAGGTTACTGAGAGGGTCAGTGTCTCCAACTGGTTGCCGTAGCACCTCGCAAAACAGGCAGGGAGCTTGAGGGGAGTCACAGGCTGGACAAGAACAGGCAGCCTGTGGGAAGACAGCACTGCCTGAAGGCTGAGTGGTCCATCTGCTGGGGAGAGCAGCTGTCAGTAACCAAGAGGCACCTCAGTTATGCCCTAGGTGAGAAGACAGTAGTGTGACTGAGAGCTCATTGGCTCAGAGGATAGAAGGAGGGAAGTGATTTGCTCAGAGGACAGCAGTGTAGGAGAGTGCCTTGGCTTAGTGGACAGGAACTCGGCAGCGTAGAGGACAGAAGTCTGGAAGACAGTGATCCTGAGGGACATTCAGATACAGTACCAGTGAAAAGTCTGAGCACATTTTCAACACATTTGTCTCTACTCTAGCTATATGATTCACCTTATAGTAATTGGCCTCGCAGCAATAAAGTAATACATATCAAATATTGCAACAAGTATAAGAATTGTTCATTCTCAAATTTTAGACTCTTTAAAAAGAACCCCCTTTTGCTTTGACAGCAGTATTGCTGTATTGCAGTATTGAAGTTTCTTCATCCAGCTTCCAGATGTAGCCACCTGGAGCCTACATCACAAAACTGGTTTGACAAAGTTAGTTTTAGGAGTTAAGTTTCAGCCAAAACCAAGATTACTTCTTGGGCATGTGCACATAACAGTGTGCTACGTGTAACAATCAGCCAATCGCTATGCATGAACTGCAGCAGGACTATGTAGTTTAAAGCAGTGGGATAGATAATTATTATGGTAAAATCTGAAGAATTCTAAAGTACACTATCAGCGAAGAGCAACGGCATGGCTGCTGCCAAAGCCAGAAAGGCATGCTGCAGCAGAACACGGAATGCATATCGCCCTGAAGTATACCAAACCATAATATACCAGAACAGTATTATGTGGTGTGCCCTGCAAATCGCCCTGAAGTATACCAAACCATAATATACCAGAACAGTATTATGTGGTGTGCCCTGCTGCAGTGCATATCGCCCTGAAGTATACCAAACCATTATATACCAGAACAGTATTATGTGGTGTGTCCTGCTGCAGTGCATATCGCCCTGAAGTATACCAAACCATAGTATACCAGAACAGTATTATGTGGTGGGCCCCGCTACAGTTCATATCACACTGAAGTATACCAAACCATAGTATACCAAAGCAGTATTATTTGTTGTGCTCCTCTACAGTGCATATCTCACAGAAGTATACCAAACCATAGTATACAAAAACTGTATAATGTGGTGTGCTCCGCTATGGTGCATATCGCACTGAAGTATACCAAACCATAGTATTCCAGAACAATATTATGTGCTGTGCCCCACTAATAAAATTTAGTAAACATAAAGATATGCACAGTTTGTACAGATTACTAACCGTTGGGTGTCACAAAACGCATCTCATTAATATTTTAGCCGTACTACTAATCTGCTTAAGAAATTGTGGGCGAAAATAAACATACTGAAAAGCTGGCATCCGGCCAAACATTTTACCCGTCATTTGAAGCCCTGGTGATTATTGCAGATGCATGACAAAATATCGATATGATATTGCCCAGCCTTACTTAGTAAGGTTTGGTTGGGGGATTGTGGGGGCCAGGGCATCTGTCACAGCACTCCCTCTCTCTCCCTGCTCAGAAGGTAATACTACATAACCTCAAGGTATGCTTAGGGTCACTATCTTTTTGAAATGCAAATGACTTTCAGTAGGTGTGTCCAGACTTGTGACTGGTACCGTATGCTAACAAATCTGCCAAAGAAGATGAAGCTGAGCTGTTAAATGAGGAGCTAAGTGTTCCCCCAAAACCACATCGAAAAACACGAACGTGTCAGTCACGACTTCTGGGACCTTTGTGCAAAACACTTTTAGTTTCAAGGGGGATGAAGCAATTGATGTCTTTATTGATGCCAGGCCCCCCCAGCTTTTGAAGGAGCTGCACTGTGTAACTCACCACACTGACAATTCTGCTTCACAACGTAGAATAAAACGGAGGAGATGGACACAGGGACGGAGAGAATTCTCCCAGACTTCGTTTCCAGGACTGCCCTTTTCTGGGACTGAAGGGAGTGCACCTGTATTACCTGCAAAGAGTTTTTTGTTACAGCTGTAAAATGTCCCAATATTCAAATAACATGTCTATCGCAGGAAATGTGAAACTGTGTTTGCATGGACCCATCTGAAAATTAACAGAAGATTTGATTATGTTTGACTACCCAGAAGAACATCATTGCAGCATTTTTAATTAAAGACTCCCATGTCTGCATTTTGTTTCTTCCGATAATGTTTAAAATTTTGCTGCGATGTGCATCTTCTAGCTAGAGGGCAAAGAACAGACATTCATTTGTTGAGGATTTGCTTGGGAAAAAAATGACAAAAAAAAATACTATTGTCAGCTATCTATCATGGTTACTGCATCATCAGACCTATACTACTTGTATCAAAAGAACCACTTGACTGGTTTATTTTCTACATAAATCTAAATAGCTTGTTGTTGCCGAGAATATTTGCATAGTTCAGAAGATAAACCTACAAAGTCATTCATATCATGCAATAAAATCTGAACAATCCCATGAAGGACTCATTAACATGAACTCATTGACTCATTAACTGTGATAACGGTATTTATAACTTGAGATGATGAAATGATAACTGTAATTTAAAGACCCTTCTTTGAATTGCCAACTTGACTTGTTTGTGTTATAGGACACGACAAGGCAGGAGGAGCCCAGGTAGCATGTCTCTGCTCAGGGTGATCGAGTCCCAGGGACTCACCATGTCCCGGCTGATGCTGTCCAGCTCCTGCTTTCCCAGAAAGCCCGCAGTCACCTTGACGACCAAGGGCAGGAAATTATGAAATCTGTGGGCAAAGTCTGGAAGGCTGTATTCCAGCGAACTCCAGTGCAGCTGAGAAACATCCATGTCTCCCCGGCGAATGAGCGTGTGCGTTCAGTCTGACTGTGGACCAGTAAATGCTACCCCTAAAAAACAGGGGAAAAACACACACAGGGCCACTTCCTGCTTTGTAAATCATTGCTCTACACAGGAATCATCAACAAACACTTTTACAAGCATCATTTGTTTGCTCCTATTGCAGATTCCAATCTCGAAAATAGAGCCTTAGATCGACTCTTTTACTCTCTCTCATACGAGCCGCAAAACAAAAAAGGGGCAAATATGCAAGACCACTCGCTTAACTTAATAATATTTACTAAATTAAATGATAGCAGACAGTATATACAAAGTTTTCCGTATAACAAAGGGTTTTGAGGTACTTATAAAAATAGTGTGAGAGAGACAGAAGGTATAGAAGACTGTGTGGATCCATCCTCCATAGACTAATTACTTATTAATGACCTCTTAGTAAATAATAATTACAAAATAATCTCCATCTGCAACATACGATTACACTTTCACCCAGATCAACATGTAACTTAAATTATCACAAGTATATTAACGCTCCTACACCTACAGTATGTTTAGTCTGGTTTCAGGTTCCTCGTTTCAAAAGATTTATGCAGAAGTGTAATAGTGAATATTCCCCATTCTGCTACCCCAAAGCCCTCCATCAAAGTTGAAATTTTTGTTGCTGGTTTTGTGGTTAGCCCAGTATATGGGTGAATTGCAGACAAGCCTGAGCTGACTCAGGTGAAACTGGGTGATTTATGGTACGACTCATGGCACACAAGAGTGGTTCAGTTCTGTTGAAGTAAAAAACACACTCAGTTAATAATTAGCATAGCTGTATTTCCTTAAAAATCATTTATGGAACAGGTACCAGAGCTAACTATGCATCCACCTCCTTGTTAATAATGTCCTGAGTCTTTTGAGAGCCCAGCCTCAATGAATTCCTGGCTAGATGGTCAGAGAAGTACTGCCTGTCTGGTGAATCCAGGCCCATGCAATCAGTTTGGATGATTATAATACAGCTACTCAGTCTGGGTAATGTGATGGGAGAGGGTGGTTCTAGACCATTTCAAATTGGGGGGGCCAGACTGGAGCCAGTTGTTCTGTTCGGAGGACCAGATGCATTTGACCATAATGTCCTCAAACTATTACTTACACTAGATGGCCAGCATTAAGAAGCAGAAGACAATTTTGAAACCGGTAAATTATTTGTGCAAGGCTTTGCTGTTACATTATACGGTTTTTAGAAATATGCAACTCGCTCTGATTTCTTGTTTAGACTGTCTTGCTTCCACAGGCTTGATTATTTTTTCTGTCGTTAGCTTCGCTTTTCGCCACCTGAAGCACCTCGACCACTCGGCACACCCACGTTAACAGTCCGTCTAGTCAACGAGTTTACGTTTGTCTTTCGCCAGTTCCCAGGGCACACGATTTAATCCCACATATATAAACGTCAATAATAACAGTAATAATAATACATTTATTTCAGACACAAGTAGCATACATATTTAGGGGGGGGGCGCATGTTGTCACAGGGGCACTGCGCCCCCCGAACCGTCCCTGGGTGAGAGACGTACTAAATTACTGAAACAGCTGTGCTCTCTGTTCCTGGCTCTTAGATGGAGAATTAAAGGAGAAAATAAATGGTAAGAACATGCAGCACAACAGGGCCCCTCTTTCGTGTTTATGGACTTCAAAGGGCTGCTCTTCCTAAGCGTTACACAGACTTCCATTCTGCTCAGTCAGTTCCTGAATCACAATGCCAGAGCTCTACTGCTTTGTCCACAGTGTCCCACAGAAGGCCTGGTTCCTTCATCAGTTTGCAGCTTTTAAAGAAAACGTCATTGCCCATTAAAGAATGTTTGCCTTTCTGACCGCTTCCCAGTATAGATCACAGTTACAGAAACGAAGGAAGAAAACGCTTCTATGATGTGAATTTGGTTTTCTGTTTTTGTTATAAAGTCATTTAAAGAGATCTAACAGATATTGCATAGTTGACTCTTAGTATTGCATACTATTCCCCTTCAAATGCTTTTTAAGGCAATTTTCCTTTGGTGGCAGTACAAGGCAATTGCAACCATATAATTAGAGTCAAAAACAAATGTCAGTATTAATTGTCTAATGCTCAGTTAACGGCAACGCCTGAGTCAATAAGCCAATGATACAAATTCTCATAATTCCACTGATTAAATGAAGGCATTGCCTTTAGTTCCTAATGGGCTGAAGCCCTTGTCAGAATGAGTTACGGAGCAGACCTTGCTCTGCGGTACAACAGACACAGACTTTAAATTTCCTCCTTAGATGCACTAGAAGCTGCATCTCCCTGGACCCTCCGTGAAGCTTTCGGACGTTATATACACCTCTCTGAAGACTAGCAGAAATAGCACAGGAAGGCTCTGCAGACAGTCTCATCGATCACAGTGCCCAATCAGGAGAGGTGATGCTGAGGTACTTTCAAGAGTAAAGGATATCGTGGCTGTGTGAGACACACAGACTGCAGCAAGCATAAATGTATATTGTACATGAGGAGTTCTCCGTCATTCTAGTCAGTCAGAAACATGAACTTCTGTCTTCAGAGACGTGTGCCACCTCTGTACACATTACATTACTCCTGTACACTGGACAGGCTACAGAAGCAGTCATTTTCGAATCCGCTCTGGGGCAGAAGTAAGCAGGTGGTCTTGCAATGATCAACAGGAATGCAGTGCAACTTCCAGCTGTGGGAGAAACAATGCCCCAGAGCACGGAATTCCCCAACTCGTTTACTTTCTGACACTAGTGAGTTTACACCAATGTTCTGTAGTGTTAGTCATGCATGGTTACTTCTGATATTTCTCAGGAAACAAACCTCTGCAAAGATATTTGGTAGAATTCCCATGTAATTACAGTAGCAACTAAAGCTGTCAATGGTGGATTTTTAAAATACTGTTACCTTGTACTAAACATGTGAGGATGAGCTTAAAATCCCTGTAGCCTGAAATCAATAGATTAGACCATAAGGGAATTAATTAATTGTCGACACACCAGAGCACACAACAATGAAATGTGTCCTTGGCATTTAACTCATATGTGACATGACGGCATTCCAGTGAGCAGCTATTTTTCAGCACCTGGGGGGCAGTACCGTCCTCAGGCTACCTCAATGGTGCCTCACCAGGCATGGAATCAAACAATAACCTTTTCATCACAAGCACACATTCCTAACCATTAGGTCACCACTGCCCCACCACCAGAGCTAAAGGCAAGAGAATGAGACCAGTCATATCTGTATCTGAAATATAGATCTAAGAAATTAAAGGGTTTGTCTGATTTTGTTAGCAAAGACCATTACAATTGCAACACTATTAAACTTTCATGTCCTAATCTTCCATGGAGTTATTTACAAAATCATTTCACATTAATTGTCTTACTCAAAGGTACAACAGAAAGACTGCATTCAGACTGTCATGTTGAAAAGACACATCACAGTCCTCCCAGTCTTTGGCTGATACCTTGTGAACAAGTAACTGCCAACAAGTTCATTAATTACCACTTAGCTTCTCTGATTAATGCAGAGTCATTTCATTTATGAAGTTGACCAGGCGGCAAACCTTCTGATGTTAAATGAGACACCTTGTCAACCTGGCTGTGTGGTGGTACAATAGTGCCAGTCAGATTAGATGCTAGGTGTAAATATCTCATGAGTTAAACCACCATCTTAACGACGACCCCCACATCATTGTCACTCCATTGGCTGTCATGTTAGCTGCTTTCCCATCTCTCAGTGATTGGCCAGGGGCAGATCCTTCTTGTAATCCAATGATTCCGGTCTTATTAGAGTGCTACTCATTGCTTCTTCTATACTTGTACTGAATCTCTGTGGGGGGGGTGGAGAACCCTGATCCATGAGGGGCCAGTGTGGGTGCAGATGTAGGATGACCTCTCAATCAGCCAATAACAGTGGGTCCCCAGGACTGGAGCTGAGAACCGTTGCTTTATTATTGGCTGATTGTGAGGTCATCCCGATAACCCACACCCACGCCGGCCCTCCATGGAACAGGCTCCCCACCCCTATGCTAAGACATCTTCTGTCTGAATCACACGTTCTAAATAATGATAAGAAATACACTTTCAAAAATTATATGCCTATAAAATGAAACAACCAGTTTATTAAAAGCAAAGAGCATTATAATAATTGTAAAATCATCCAAAAAGTTTTAGGGAAAGTATTAAGGAAATACAACATGTAATAGCAAAGTTGTGAGGCAGTCAAATTATTTTTCATTCTCCCTCTATGCTACCAATATGTAATTTATCCTCTAAAAATCTCGGAGTGCCACTAAAGAGTGGCTAATTATCAAGCTGCATATCAGTTTTTCGGTGTTGATGACGCACTTCTCCCACAAACGCAGTGTCCTGCCCTCCCAAAAAATCAACAAATAATCATATAGTAACACTTTCCTAAAGCCACCCATTCCCCCTTTTAAAAGCCTGGCATCCTCATCGAGACAAGAAAATGGCAGCCAGAATGAAAAGGGAGACAAAGTCAGTCGGGCGAAAGGCAGATGGTGCGATGAATCAGACTGAGGTCCATGTGCGAGACGATCCATATCCGTTTATTGTGCCGGAGCCAAAACACAATCAGAAAGTAGTAAAACAAAATGACAGGCAGAAGTCGATACTGTACCAGGAATAGAACCACATCCAAATGGCGAAACTCAGGAGCTGGGAATTCAAGCAAGGGATCCTCAAACACGACTGAATGTCAGAAATAAGAAAAGTGGGGAAACACTCAGTTTGGAGAAACTCAAATACCTCACATTGGGACACTGGATTGGAGTAGTATTTAAGATATATAGGAAAAAATCAGCCGGCGTGATCAATTAACAGGTGAAGAAGATTAGACAGACAGACAGACAGACAGATAGACAGATAGATAGATAGATAGATAGATAGATAGATAGATAGATAGATAGATAGATAGATAGACCTATGCTTGTGTGTACAAGCACATGCATGTGGCGTTCATTTACAGAAAAGTCGGATTAGGTTTGGTTTGGTTAGGATAACGAGGACTGGTTTGCATTAGAGGCTATAATCTGACCCAGGTGTCATCTTAAACCTTTCACTGTTGCTGGTCACTCACCAGGGGTAATACTGCACTGCGTTTTATCATCAGTTAGCATCATCATCTGATTCACACAGCTAAAGGAGGACATTCCACCAGACCGAAGCTCAAAACACATCTTAGGTCTTTAAGGGGTCCTTCATCTGCGGCCGGGTGTCACTTGCTCATTTTGGGATCCTTGGTTTAAAACAAAAAAACTGGCCTGTCGTTTGCAGGGGCTCTAATCTTGGGGGAACCTCACTCTAATCAGAGAGAAGGTGGAAGGGAAGGAGAAAGCTAAGAAGGAATCGGGTTTATCCGTAACCAATCACTCGAGTAACTGTGCATGAGGAAGATGCGCTCAAAGGTCAAACAGCCCTTAAAAGTGTAATTATTACGGCTGAAACGGGTGAGGTTGTCTGATCGTGTAAACTCGTCAGATTCTATTTTGTTTTCTGCAGAAAAAGCATGATTCCACAGATGTTCCAAATTAATGAAACTCAGGCATAAAATCCAACAAACACACAAAATAACACAATGAACTTCTGCAGCGGCATTGAATTGGGAGGAAATGCCGTACGGTAATAAACATTGACTCACTGATTAATAGAAATAACTGAAAAACATTAAATGTCCCTGCGTGAAATTAGACATAGAACTGTACTTGACATTCTGGTTTTTCTTTAAAAGGTAGTTTAAAGATTTAATCGTAAGGATTCAACATACTTCATATGTTACAAACAGTGTAGTTGCATGTTAGGTGCATGCGCTTGGAATCTAAACTGAGAAATGAAAGATATGCACCTCTTGACTACTAAGCTTTTGTTGTTATCTTAGAGAACCAAATGACTTTTTTGCGGTAACCTCGAGCGACGTGACCTCTCCTGTCCAAACACTATGTGGTAGAAAAATTATAAATCCCCTCTAATAACTCCAGTGAAGCCACTTAGAATAAAACTCAGGACCTCTCAGTTGGTGAGCAAAGTTATCTCTTTTATTCGAGCAATCCAGCAAAGCGCTCCCATCACACTCTGGCACCAGGTACCAAGTACCCCAGCACAAAGAGCAAAGAGCTGATAAACCATCATTTTCAGTTCCAGATAAGGACTTCTAAGTCCTGATAGGTCACAAAACACCAACAAACCAAGCTCAACCGTATAACAAACACAATTCTCCCGCTGTATTGGTTCACCTTAGCAGCAAGGTAAAATTCACCTATTTTGCTCAATTTTCCAGAGCATGTCTGGACTGCTAGGCTCCAACTTGAGATATGAATATATATATATATATATATATATATTGATTATATTGACATTGAATCTAAGACATAACAAACCCAGTATGCCTCCCCTCCCAGGCCTACCAATGTCAAATTTACTTTCCACAACTACAGACTAAACAATTGAATATTCTCTCCTGTCCGACCCAGACCTTACTTTTATAGTTTATTTGGAAACTGGGCTGTGATTGCAGTATACGGCTGAAATATGAGTGTTTAACACAAACAGTAACAGTAGATAAAACGGTTCATCTAAAATGAAAACACGAAATCTATGTAATTTACGTTCAGTGCATTGACGTTGTCACTACTCGGTTAAAACATGTTTATTAGCTTTTTTAAGTATATTTCTTTTTATGATGATTCAGAGATACCCTGAAGCGGGCAGTCCGGTAGTCCAGGAGCCAATTGTACACCGCAGGAAACAGGTGGGCTTTGGGGATGCCGTCTGGGCGGTGAGCACCAGGGGACGTGCACCAATGCGGACCTCCGGGAGATGCAGAGGACGGGGAAACCAGAAACGGTAGCCAGGACCGACACGGGATCTGGGAAACACGCGAACAAGACAACCGCAACTAACCTAACCAACAACTAAGACCCTGCAGGCTGCCCGGAAACAAGACGTCGGCATGCAGAACCTCAGAAACCCGAAAATAACACTAACTAAGCCCAGCCCACCAAAGGTAGACTCAAAGTGAGTTGTGAGAATTATGATCAATATGAAAAACGACTGGTCTAAATAGGATTCAGAGGCACCTATCACTGTCGCACGGATCATACTTTATTGAATAGGTGGAACAAACAAATTTGTCAACTAGATAAATTACAAAGTCAAATTCAAGTTATACAAACGTATTGTACCCTTTCCCGAGACGTATTATGCTTGTGCGTATAGCCTTCTAGCACCTTCCTAAAAGTAAAATAATCCGAATTCTCTTTTATTAATATGTGCAGCAAAAGTTTTATTAGTATTGGACTCGGTTTTGATGCACTCGCCATTTAATAAACGTAGGCTACATCTTAAAAAAAACGAGTGTGTATTTCACTGGAATGGGTGTGAGAATGTAAATTAACTTATAAACAGCACTACGATAGCATACGATATTCACAAATATGACGTGCACAAATAAGCGTTGTTTTTATCTAGAAGCTCACACACAGGATACCGTGCACATATATGGGAAATGGTCATAACACAGAAGGGCAAATGCAGAATACATGCAATGTATATGTGCAATGTACAAATGTAATGTGTTAAAATGTGGTTCTAAGCTAACAAACATCGAGAATAAATAATGTAGAGGTGTCACTTATGAGTGTCTCCTGATTTTATAAGGTTTCTGATTGTGATCGACATGTAACACCTTCCAATATCTGTCCCTTCCAATTGTCTGTCCACTTCATTTCATTTTATAATTTTTTTTTATCAAAACATTATATTAATTGTCACATTTGTCTTTTATGGTTTTTGTGAATGGCGAGGATTTGAAAAACATTTTCCCAAATATACATACGTCAACTATCAAAAAACTTTACCCAATGAGTCATTCAGCCTGTCTTACGTAGAAAATAAACAGTGCTTGAGGAGGGGCGACCAATTCAATAAGAAGACAAAACATGTGGAGCGGATAAAAGGGAACGGACCGTGAAGACCGGGTATTTCAAGTGAGATCCTTAGAGCAAGAGCAGAACTTCTCGTACCTCGGCATTAAACCGTTTATCGTGCAGGACCATGGAGAGGTCCAGACTATGGACGAGCGTTGCTGTCTGCGCCGTGTTGCTGTCCGTCGCCAGCGCTGCTGAAACAAACGACTCGGATCAGGAATTAGAAGTTGATACTAGAGCTTTAATGGATTTTTACCCAAAAAGTCCAAATCTGACCAACGAAAAGCAGCTTGTAAGTTTTCTTCTCGCCAAGCTATATACAAAATATGTGCTTTGATTCTATGTGAATGTAAAATGCTTTTTCGTTAAGTGGTTTACTAAAATGTCATAAGCATTGTTTATTATCTGAACAGCTCGGAGCTCTACAAGAAGTTCTGGAAAAACTACAGAGCCAACGCATTTCACCGTGGGAAAAGAAATTCGGACAAGTTCCCACGGTATGAACATGAGTAAGGATAAACATGTATGTTTTGCTAAACAGGTTGAATATACACAGGTGTCATTCCAGTTGTGTACGTTTAGTATTTTCAGGCACCGGAATGTCCGGCAGAGAATAGCCTACAGTTGATTACTAACATATCAGTTTTTTCTTTCTTTTTCACGTTGTTTCTTCTGCATCCCTCAGTGCCACGTGGGTGAGCAGTGCGCGGTGAGAAAGGGATCGAGGATCGGAAAGATGTGCGACTGTCCACGGGGGGCGTTCTGCAATTTTTTCTTGCTTAAGTGTTTGTGAGAAAGACTAAGCTGGAATGCACTTTAATTGTATTTTAAAAATATATATATTCATCATTGTTTATATCAATATTTTAGGTTACATAAAAAACATGGCTATAGTGATGCTGACGCGTTTGATATTGCAGCCGTCAGACGCCTAGCAGAAAAAAACTGTTAACAAAAATATACGTATTAAAACTATGTGATACCTTGTTTTGTAAAACAGTCTGTGTCGTCACTGAATTCATCGGCGTGAACAAAATTCAGAACAAGTTTTCCAATATAATATATAATAAACGGTATACAGAGTATTGGATGAGGGTTGAAATGGTGGGACTACTACTAAAATACATATTTATGAAAAAACACAAATGTCCTACAAAAATAGAAATAATGAGAGAATAAAATATTTCGTTTAATATGACGAAACGGTTCGGTGAATTTGACGCAGAGAAATGATTTTTTAATCTGCCAGTTCAGAAGAACGGTCCTAGCCGACGTGCGCCATAGGCGAACATCACTGCAGGTGTTACACCATGTTTTGTGACCGTCGTGATGTGTGACTCCAGGGGGCGCTGTTTCACATATTGTTGGGAATGAACACAAGGTAACTGTTCACATGCACGAGCCCTCTGCGCATTTCACGTACCGTTATTTGATCTTTTTCATTTAACGTACCGCAGCAGCGTTTCCACTTTCTGGTCCGTCCTCTTATTTGTGTTTCTTAGCGTTATCTAAAGAGCTATGATTGGAAATAACTCTTCTGCATGTTCTTTCAAAATCAGCATTCGCGAGTAATATAGGTGGCTGAAAGAGTGGGTAATTCTGAGCTATAAAACATATAGCCGATGTTGCGACCAATTTCCACGATTGCTCGCTTTTATTTGATTTAAGTATCGACAAAGGATATATTCATTTACCCAGATTTCAAATAAATTAATGTTTTAAAACGACATGATAGTCATTCTTTTAATTTTTCTTATCTTACTTTCTAATTGTTTCTTTGGTGTTTTATTTTGTGTATCTTGCGCAGAGGGCTCGTCATCAATAATATGTGAAACAGCGCCCCTAGTGTCACATTCCGACGGTTAGAAAATATGGTCTAACACAGGGGTGGGCAATCTTATCCGCAAAGGGCCAGTGTGTATGCAGGTTTTTGGAGTAACCTTTAGGTCAGCTGTTCAAACTCACATGTGAGGACTCTTCAGCCAATCAGTCCTCTAATTAGTAATCTAATTAGGGAGTTGCAGCGAAAACCCACATACACACTGGCCCTTTGCAGATACGATTGGCCACCCCTGGTCTAACAGGTACACCTGCACCCAAGGCAAAGTGACATTAGTTGCCAAGTCGGAACCCCCTCAGAAGTTGACCGGCCATGTGTATTACATACACTATTACATTGTATGCAACACAGCCTATTTACTTTGTGTGTACAGCCTTCCTGCACACACTGAAAAACAATCCAGTAAAACGTTATTGTCATTATAAAGATAACTTTTCAGTTTTAATATTGACAGATTGTAACGTTTTTAAGATCTGTTAATATCACTCATTTCATGCTGTTCGCTATGAATCGGAAACGTTTTCATCTACCGAGTGTCTACGAAAGAGGCTTCATTAACGGCTTGGGTTAATGTTGACCAAGTAAATGCAATTAGATGAAATTAAATATCCTTGCCACTAGGCTTACTTTAAAAACTGTGCCTGACCATCAGCACACTTATGAAATAAAGAGTAGGCCCAACACTTCAGAAATGTGACATAAGCCGTTTTGGAGAATAGGGTATATATTTCCATTTCATTAGATCCAGTTTATACGAATGTCGCACAATATAAGCATCTCATTACTCAAACATTAAATATTGCCTTATTTATTTTCTGCACCTTAACTTGTCGGCATAAATCTCTGCTGTCTCTGTCCTCTCGTCCCCCAGAAAGACACTGGCCACAATGACATGTTTATATGGATGGGAAGCATCCCAGTCACACGAAAAACAACCTGGAACGGAGGAGATAAAAAAAAGTCCCTTGTGCCGTGGGTTTGATCCGTCAACATTATTGGGATCCTGCTTTTCCTGAGATGGGAATTTTTGGGAGACCCCATCTCAAAATATATCTGAATTATATGCAGGTTGCATTTAACCCCATTAGAAATAAACCAGACACAAGGTATAGGTATGAATTGATATGTTAAAGTGTGTGTGTAAGAACAGAAGTGAAAGTTATCAGGGTGGTGGAAGTTTTGGCAACAAGTGCACTGCATCTATAAATAATGACAGATGGTTCAGTTTCCGTGCTTCAGCAGGATGGAGGACTTGAAAAGGGGGAGGTTTTACTGTGATGAGAGTGCAGGGACAGACAGCAGGGAGGTGTCCAGCAGCACTCTGAATGGGAAAATCCGGTGGATTGGTTTTGGTTTAAATTAAATGTTACTGCGAATTGATTTCAATTTGGTTACATGGACCTGCTATCTATGCCTGTTTCCCAGGGGGCAGCAAAGCTGGTAGACCCAGTGAGCAGGAGGCTTGTGTTTGCGCATAACCTAAATCTCTGTGCCTTCTTGTTTTATTTGTCCTTAAGATATATTTTTTGCGTTATGAAATTAATGTTTTTGTATGTTTGGAATCTAGTGCTTCTTTCTGAATCAGCGGCCGGTTCCTCCAAAAATGTAAATCCTGCCTAGAAGTAAAGGTTTAATTTTAACGTTTTTGGTTAGTATATTATAACTGCAGCCAATCTGCGATCAGGCAAAAAACACAAGTCATGCAAGCATCCGACTTAAAGAGCATTTAACTGTATTTACTGCCGTTCATAATAGGGCCGGTCAATCGTATAGGCAACATAGGCAGCTGCCTAGGGCAACCTTCTCTGAGGGGGCGCCGACTTTGCCAGCTGATTTCACTTGCACTTGCCGAATACCATCTGAGACTAAGTGCTCGTGCCCCTTGAAGCCTCAACACTTGACAGCAGTTCCCTGACACCTGCGAGTGATGTACAATGTCCTAGAAGTCTGTAATTCCACTATTCAGCAGCCAGTAGGAATTTTCTACCTCCCTTTGCGATCAAGGAAATAAACAGGCGCTATGACTTCAAAGCACCCATTTTATAATAATTTGTTATTATAATTTATTATTATACCCTAGATAAGCTTGCCTAGGGCGCCACAACGGCTAGTACTAGCCCTAACTGAGAATATTTTTATTTATTAACTGCAATCTTAGAGATATTGCTACTGCCAGTGTATGTATCTGTATTTGTACTGCAAGTAACTTACTTTACTTTGCATATCATTCTTCAGCAGTAGCAAAATCATTTCTACAGTAAATTCAGAAAATGAAGCATTTGCCTTGAAGGCAATCTACAGGAAGTTTGTGTGTTTAATTAAAAGTCAGAGGCAATTACTCCCTCCAAGAAATGGGTAGCCATCATTTGATGTCATTCGCTCCCCTTCACTTAAAGGAAGTGCCTTATGATAAAAAGCAAAATGAATGTGCTCATATGATCAGATACACATATTGATGTGGCACTTTACCTTTAATAGGTGGTCAAGTCAGTCTCCCCTTGTTTGAAATACTATCAAATGAGTGCATGTGTGCAGTCTGTCCCAGGAGCTCCGCTGACTCATTTTCTGTGTGGAAATTCAGCCCAAGACCCTGTCACCTCCCTGCCTCTACTGTCTATCAAATTAAACAAAGTCGTCATGAGAGCCCCAGTGCTTGACACAGGCAGCTTCATCTCCCATCAGAAATATGAAGGAATTTCGGTACCATTAGCTGCAAATAACCTTCTTCTTCTGCTCCATTCCCAGGTGTATCAGAGGGGACTCTCCTTTTATGGAACCTTGACCCTGAGCCAATCACAGGGACTTGTGTCCCTGTTTATCAAGCTGTCAGTCAACTGTGCCAACAATCTAAGCGCAACATTTGTTAATAATTACCGTAACTCACTTATACAAATGAATGTCATCTATCTTCTAACCACTTAATCAGTGCAGAGTTTCAACACAATCAAATACATATTAAAAAAAAAAAACTCAAGTGAAACTGCATGCAACACATTATTGATAGATGTGGTCATTTATTTGATACAAAATTATTTCAATATCATTTTATGTCACCTGTACTGGACATGCAAAAAGCCCAGTGGTTACAGTACAGGTCTGGGTTGAAATTTGCCCTCCATGAGAGATATATTAATGAGCAATGATCCTTACAGTGACAGCGGTGACAAATATCCAAGTAATGAGCTTCATACCCATCTAACACCAGCTCAAGACACTGAGAATTTATTGTGGTCCTCGTGGCCAAGCAAAGTATCCTTCCTGTACGGTGTTGAAAAATGAGTCGCAAAGCTAGATGGGATATTTGTTTGTCTAGCGTGCAGAATAAGCCCAGTACCCGAGCGCCAGTAGCACGGAAAACAAGCTAATCTGCTAATGAGAGTCGACAGCTCTCACGGACCCTAGAAGCAGGTGGGTCCAGCTCCCCAGCACTCTGTTTAATAGCTAGGTGACTCATACCCGCCAGGAAGCAATTTAAAGGGCACTCAACACATTTACTCACCAATCTCACGCACACAAAGGTGACATATCGCTGCCTGCCTGTCAATCAAGTCAGTGTATGTGTGACAACAACAACACATATGATTACTGTCCACGGATGCCTTCACTGACTGCAGGGACCTGACAACATCCACAATAGAATCATGACATCTCAGGCTTGTAAATGTCTAGATCAGGGGTCACCAACCTTCTACTTCACGGGTACTGAGCCATACGAAGGGCTACCAGTTTGAAACGCCCTCCTAAACTTATCTAAACTTCATGTATAATAAACACGTTTTAAATGCTTTTTTTAGATATTGTCAAATATATATAAATGCAAATGTGATTAAAGAAGAACAGCAACAGGACAAAATTAATTTTTAGACATTGCTCACTGGTGAGCTATTTTTAGAACATGTCCGCAGGGGACTCATGTGGTCTGTTGGTGACCCCTGGTCTAGATTAACTGCAGTCATACTAAAACACCCAACATATGCAGGAATCCATCCTATTCAGGGTCGCAGAGGCTACGGTCACAAGGCTGGGAACAACCCAGGATGGGACGGCAATCCATTGCAGGGCACACTCACACACCATTCACTCACACACGCATATCTATGGGCAATCTGGAAACTCCAATTAGCCTCAGCGTGTTTTTGGACTGTGTGGTGAAACCGGAGAATCCGGAGGAAACCGCATGATGACACGGGGAGGACATGCAACATGCAACACACATGGAAGCCTGGCAGAGCCACACATACTGCAGTCGCATTGAGATACACTTTGCTGTTTGCAGCATTGGAGGTGTCCCATAAGGGACGACTAGATGATTCTGGAATTTCAGCAGGACTTCCAGGCAAATTATCTTGTTTATGCAGAAAAGAGAGAGTGTAAGACAGGGATGGTAGCAGAAGTAGAAGCAAAGAATATGAAGGAGAGGAACATTTCAAGTACCACAGTTACCTACACAGCTACTAACCACACTGACTAGGGG